CCCCCCCCCGGGCCGCTTGAAAGCTCCACTGTTGGGTCACGTTAGAACAGCTGTGCTTGTAAAGAAGCTGCTAGGGGCGCAGAAATTGTGATGCCTTGGCCGACCACATCGTCATGTCAGGCCATGGCGCCCCAAAGAGTGCTGGTAGTGGATGTCGCTTGCTTGGTGAGGTCAACGGTTGGTGCAGCAATGTTGACTAACAAGCACCTCGCACTAGGACTCTCACATGATCATGTGCAGTTGACATAGCGTAAGATCACCTTTTATCAGCCCTAAATTTATATGTGATGACATCCAGTGTCAACACCATGTATGATCTAGCGCGGGAATACCGGTATGTGATAGATGCTACGTATCAGGTACCACACATATACTATATCATCCAGTAAGCAAGAGGACGTTGTGCTCAGCCCTGGCTAACACGATTGCCGGAACGAACAACGCACCGTCATCCGCGCGACTTGGAGGCAGACCTTTGAGCGAAGGCAGGCGGAATTAGATGTGGGCAGCCCCATGACAGAGTCCAAGGCGCCGAATGGCGGGCGGCGCCCTGCCCGAGCAGTTACCAGTGCTCATGAGGCGGGGCAGGTGTTGCAATCAGCGCCCTCAAGCCCCTCGCACGCCTCGTCGGGCGTGCGCCGGATCAGGCTTGCCCTCGGAGGCGCCGTGATAGTGGCGGCGCTGGGTGTGGTGGCCCTCTATGTTGCTGCCTCGGGCGCAGTGGGGGCTGCGGCGCCCAAAATGGCCGCCGGCCAGCAGGCAGTATGGAGGCTGCAGACAGGCAACGTTGTTCTGAAGCTCGAGCAGGCACCTGTGCAGCCAGGCCAGCCACAGCAAGAGGCGGCCCCGGCGCACCACTATCAGCAGCAGCAGCAGCAGGACTTTGCCCACTCGCCACCGGGCTGTGCGCCGGGCGCGGCGCCCCCGCGCCAGCTAGTCGGGCAGCGCGACTTGCTCGTGGCACCGCAGCCGCTGGCCGACCTGGCGACCGTGATTGCGGACGCGGCAGCCGCCAACGACACCAGGCTTGAGCGTGTCGCACGCATGCTCACACGCCACCGCGCCGCCGCGGCCGCCGCCTCCCCTGCGGGCGCCACCTCGGGGGCTGCCGAGGCACGCGCCGCGTATGCTGTCGCCCTCCGAGAAGCAGCGCTGGACGCCGCGCACCGCTCCGACGCCCTTCTCGCCCGCGCCCGCGAGCAGGGCGGGGCTGCCGCCGCCGCCGCCGAGGCGCCGCGGCCGCGACCCGCGCCGCCGCCAGCCGGCACGCCGTCCGGGGCGCCGTCATCGGTGGCGGCCAGCATGATAGCTGAGGCGCTGTTGGCAGTTAAAGACGCGGCTGCGGTCAAGGGCGGGGAGCCGGTGGTCGTCCCATGCATGGCATCGGCTGACCCTACGCAGCCCACAACGCTGCCGCCAGGTCAGCGCATGCTGATCGCAGCCAACCTCCGCAGTAGCGAGGCGGTGGCCCCCAATTTCATGATCCAGGTGCTGACGCTCGCGCTCTCGCAGCAGGGGCTGCAGGGCGTTGGCGGTGGCGGCGGCAACAGCAGCAGCAGCAGCAGCCGCAACATTAGCAGCAGCGGCGCCAGGAGCAGCGGCAGCGCCGGCGGCGATCCTCAGGGCGGGCGCAGCCGAGTGTTTGTGGCTGTGTACGAAAGCGGGAGCCAGGCGGGCGACAAAACTGGTGCGGCCGGGCGGCGTGATCCACCCCCTGTTCAAAGGGCGCAGCTGACGCATGGCAATTGGAGCACGGCACCTCGCGCATGGCAAGATGTACGTCATGTTGTTGCATGCGAGCCAATTTGGGAGTAGTGCGCACGCGTGGGTGACTTGCCAGCGTGCAGGCTCGCTGATGCAGCATGCGTGTGTCTCAGCCGCTGCAGTTTGCTGGCCAACCCCTCCCCATCCGCCCCCACCATCCCTGAATCACTCCCAATCCTCAATGCAACACTCCTTCATGGAATTTGCCATTGTCAGCCAAACCTTGCACACCACGCTGCCGCGGCGTGCGTGTCCCTCCTCGTCCTGCACCCGCAGGCCGCTGGCTGACGCTGCTGCGCATGCTGCTGGAGCCCATCGGCGTGCCATGCAACATCACTGCAGGCGGCAGTCTCACCCGGCAGCAGGGGCAGGAACGGATCGAGTTTCTTGCGGCAGCCCGCAACGCCCTCCTGCCGCCCGTCGGCCCGCAGCCGCTAGCGGCTGGCATCAAGGGCTCTGCTGCGCAAGCGGCGGTGGCGACACAAGAGGGGGATATGAATCAAGAGGTGTTCGCCGCCTCTGACGTCCTGTTCGTCAATGACGTCTTCTTCTGCGCCGCCGACGCGCTGCGCCTGCTGTGGCTGGACGCGGACTTTGTCTCGGCCCTGGATTTCGGCCACGTGGACAACAACCGCAACCCGGGGCACGGCGCCGGCCGGCGGCGCCTGGTGCAGCACGACGACTTGCAGGGCGGCAGCGGCAGCGATGCGGCGCCAGCCGCCGCTGCGGCGCCAGCTGCAAGGGGTCACCTGCAGCACAGCCGCCGGGTGCTGCAGCGTGCGGCCCACGCCGCCCCCGCGGAAGCCGGCGGGGCTGGCGCTGCCGGCGGGGCACGGCGCCGTTTGGCAGGTTCAACGACGCCGCAGCGGCTGAACTTCGCTCGCATGCTGGACATCGCCGCGGCGCAGGGCAGCAATAGGACGTCGGAGGCGTTTGTGCGCTTTCCCATGTATGATGTGTGGGTGATGAGGGACGCGTCGGGCCACCGCCTGCGCTGGACCCCGCCCTATGGCAGCACACGCGCCACCACCCGCGCGCTCGCGCGCGGCGCGCCGTTCCCAGTCTACTGCGGCTGGGGTGGCATGGCGCGCGTGGGGGCGCAGCCGTTTGCGGATGGGCTGCGATTCAGGAAGCATCTGGATGGGGAGTGCATGGCGAGGTGGGCGGGCGTGATGCTGGGTTGGTGGTGTTGGGTGGCGCTGCGTGTTCATGCCATTTTGCAGGGAGCAGCTATTCGTGGCAAGGCTGTGCATGCACGCATGCATGCATGCATGCATGCAGGTGGCCTCCGACAACCATGCATTAGGTGGATGTGTTGCGTTTGGGGGCTTGCCTACGTAAGGTCTTGCGGCATCAGAGTTTTTGCCACCTGGGTGTGCTTACCGCAGCTGTCCAGGGTGGGGTGAGAGCCAAGCGGGCTGCGGTGAGGCGACACCGCACACTTGTGCCACGCGAAACCTCATGCACCGCGGACGACCCTGCAAAGCCAGCAACTGCTGCAAGACTGACCCCCCACCCTCCATCCCGCCGCCCTCGCCTGTCCCTCGATTCAACCCCGTGTGGCCCCAGCGAGTGCAGGTGCGTGCACGAGCGGGTTTGCGCTCCTCAAGCCCGTCTCAACTGGCGGAGCGCTGGCGGCTGCGCTGTGTTCGCCAAGCCCTGTTCCCCTTCCCATAATCGGGTCGCCATGTAGCGCCCTGCGTCAATCCCCCTCACTTCTGAGCCCCGCCGCCACCCTGCCGCCTCTCCATCATCCCCTCAACCCCGCCAGCCTTTTATGCGACGACCTGCATCGCCTCGGCTACCGCCGCACCCTCATGGACCCCGGATCGCGCACAACCTACGACATGCCCACCGCCTGGGCGCTGCATGCGCGCGCATTCGACCTGGTCAACATCTCCGGCCTGGGCAAGATGCCCTGGGTGCACGTCGCGGCCCTGGGCCGCGCCACCGGCGGCCCTGCAGGCGCTGAGGGCCCGGCCTCTGCGCTCGCGACCGCCGGCGTGGACTGGGGGGCGGCGTCCAGCATACCCTTGTACGGCGAGGTCGACTGCTGCTCCAAGGGGGAGGATGCGGCCCAGGATTTCGTGGCGTTCGAGGCGTGCCGCCCGGTGGACGTGATGGGCCGCAACTACACTCGGTCATTCTTTTCGCAGTGCCGGCTGGAGGGCCAGCACGCAGCCGGCGGCGGCGACGGCGGCGGCCAGCAGCACGCCGCCTCGCGCGCGCCGGGCGGCGCGGCCAGCCGCAGCCTGGCGGCAGCCCCAGTCGCGGCGCCGGCGAGCCCGCATGAGCGGCAGCAGGGGAGGCGGCAGCTGGCGGCGGCAGCGGATGCGGGTGCGGCGGCTGGAGAGGGGGCGTCGCGGTCGGGGCTGCAGTACCTGACGTCGCGCGAGCGCCACCCAGACGGCGCGTGGCACTCGCACAAATACACCTCCTGCCCCCCTTAGCGCGGCAGCCATTGTTTCGCGGCCGCGCACCGGCTTGGTCTTGGCGGGCCGGGATTCACGAGAGTGCGCAGAACCAGTGCCCAGGGGAACAACGCAGCGTGCAACGCCGGCTGCATGCATCAAATCAATCCTCCCAACAAGGCCAACCTGGGCCCCTCGCCCATGTCCCTATTGTCTGTCTGTGTGTCTCCCTGTGAGGTCTGCTTGTGGTTTCTGATTGCCACGGCCCACTGAAGCCCTTCCATTCTTCTTTGGCTGTGTGCGCTGCGTAACTGCGTGCCGCCTGCGTCGAATGCAGCAGCAGGTGTTGTGCTTGTTGGTTGGTTCCGCCTTGGCAAGCCAGCCGCGCCGTGCGCATGCACGGCTGCAGCAGGACTCAGGCTGACAGGGCGTGGGGCCTGCTTGTTTCCTGCAACACTCATGAAGGAAAATGGGACCAATGTCGCAACGCGTTTGCGCTTGGGCCAGGGACTGCTTTTGCTTGGAAACCCCTTTGTTATTTGAGGACTGCATTGTCAACCGCTGGATGCTCGTCCGTCGCAGGCGTTTGCTTCTTGCTGAGGCATCGGTGCGTGCACAGTCGTGAACGCGTTCTGGCGGTGCTGGTAATTCTTCTTGGATCTCAAGCCGGCTCCAGGGTCAGGCGGCCGCCTGGAAAATGGACCTGCTCTTGGCTGCTGCCGGCACCGTGGCCACCAGGGCTATACTGCTGTCCCCTGCAACAGACCCCAGACTTTGCAGAGGCACAAATTACCAATCCTAAACCATCAGGCGACATCGCAAGCGGCTGACGTGGGCGTGCGCCGCTGGACGTTGCCCCCAAGGCCTCGTGGCCGCGGCCAGATTAGCACCAGCCAGCTCCACGCCAGGGGCACTGCACGCCAGGGCCGCCACGCGCCAGTCTCCTGCCAGGGGTGCACCAGGCTCCGGCACGCGAGGCCAAGCGCTGGTGCAAGACACGGTGCGGCACCGCGCAGGCGGCCGCCGCCTGTGGCGCGGCACCGCGCGCGGCAGCCTTGGGCTGTGCGCCGCGCGCGATCCGCTCAGTGCTTGCAGAAGGTGACGAACCGCAGCACGACGTCCTCCGAGCCGGCCTCGGGGTTGGACAGCAGCTGCTGCACGGCGCGCGCGGTGGAGCGGCGGGCGGCGTAAGTGTAGAGGATGTAGATGCCCTCCCAGTTGGAGCTGCAGGGGGGAGGGGCGGTGCGATTGGAGGGGCGATTAGGCACTGCTGGTGTCAATGTAGGGGGTGGCGGCAATGACACAAGAAGAGCGTCTGCTGGACTGTCTGGTTGCAGCCTCAAAAGTCCGAATGACTGCCATCCCCACACGAGAAAATGCGACCAGGTGCGCTGCCACATGCATGCGCCACGAGTTCCCTGCCTGCAATTGCGAGGCCTGACTCTGACATCCCCAGTTTCCCCGCCAAAATATGCACACACACACACACACAAGCACACACACATATACACACTCACTGCCACGCACGCACACCCCCGCACACACACCCACACAAGAGACAACGTCCGCCCTGCACCGCCCATGCGCTCACCCCTTCATGGGGTAGGCGAGGCGGCTGCGGGCGCGCACGAGCGCGTTGATGTGCATGCACTGCTCCTTGTTCAGGAAGGCCTCAAACTTGGCCAGCTCGCGGTCCCTGCAGACAGCACGGCGGGAAAAGGTGTGAGCGCGGATGGTTCGAACCACCGGGCAACCGCTGTGCACAGCCAGACCAGCAGTACCAGCCGCCAAGACCCGGAAGGCGGAGCGCCGCATTGACAGGACAGCCGCAGCTGCCCACAACAATCGGCACGCGGCGCCTGGGCCGCCGGTGCCCCTGGGCCAGCCCGCACGGCCACGGCCGGCCGGCGTCCGCTACAACAGGGGAACGAGCTGTATTTGCGTACTCAGGGCTACCAAGGCCCTCATGTCCAAGCACCCCTGTGCCCGCGCAGCCCGCGCACCTGTCCTCGTCACCCAGGGTGGCGCGCAGCACCAGCATGGTCTCGTACCAGTGGTAGCCCTTGGGCAGGTTAAGCAGCTCAGGGTCCTGGCAATTCAAGGGGTTGCGATTGAGGCCCCGCATGAGGCATGGCAACGTCCAAAGAGGACAGCGGGCTGACAGCGGGCTGCGCGTAGGCAGCCAAGCACAAATTGGCTTGGAATTGCGGCGCTGCGCCCACACCTGCTCCGAGATGCTGAGCTCCTTGGGATCGTACTGCCGGGTCTTGTAGTCAAACTCAGGCTCCGCCTCTACTGCCGCGGCACGCACGGGCTGCAGTGATGCGAGGGCGGGGCGAGGGAGCAGCAGCGGGTCGCGCATGAGCCGGCGGCGCCGGGGTGCAGCTCGACTTGGCTGGGATACTGCTCAACTGCCGCGCCTCGATCCTTGTTCACCGCATATGCTCCAATGGACACAATGCGAGGTGGCCATTGGCCACGTTGCGCCACTGCTCGGGGGCCATCGCCACCCAAGACCGCCGGTGAGTCGAAATCCAATCACACAGCTATTCAAAGGCCTGAAATAGTCGTGTATGTCACGAACGGCTGCGCGCGTCGCCATGCCCCGCCAGCAGCCTCTCCCCGACCAGGCACTCCTGTTGCCCACCTGCGCGCTGCCGCGCTGCACCCTCGAGCTGCTGCTGATACGGCATGGCACCGTGACTGCCGCTGCTGTGAATGGCTTGCGCGTCACACGCGCCAGAGACTGCTGCTGGAGCATGGTGCCCGGGTAGCGCGCCCTGTCGATGCCTATGAGACTTCGCGTTGCTCTGGCTTGTGTACTGCACAGCAATGGGAGTCGCTACGGGCAGGGCGAGGCAGTGAACGGGTCAATGGTGTGGAGGCGCCTCTCAAATGCCCGCTGACAAACAGGCGATGTATGTGTGGCCCTGAGGCGGCGTCGCAGTGGCTTCCATCCCTCGTGACAAGCGGACACGTGCTGGTAGGCTCTGAATGCTTCATGCTGTGTGGCGCCGTGGTCCCCACCTGCTGCTGCAGACGCTTGGAGCCAGGTGCATCGATGGTGCCATGCCTTCGTGCGTGTACTGTCTCACATCAAGTTCCCAGCAACACTGTGACCCTAGCGATGCCTTCAGGAAAGTAGGCCAAGGGTGTCGTTGTTGACACGACTGCTTCGTAGGTCAATCTACAAGCACACTGACGCACTGCATAAATCAAGGCATCCTGCAGCAGAGATGAAGAACCCGCACAACTGTAACAAAAGAGCTGCAGTCAAACAGAGCCTAATTGCCACAGCAGACGTGGTGCAGGTGCGGGCGGTCCGCCGCTTGTGGCGTGCCCCACCCCCGCCGCCATCTCACAGTCCAGTTGGCGCAGCACCGGCGATCAGGGCCCCTTCGTGAACAGGCCTCTGCCATTCCAGGAAGTTATTGCCAGAGGTTCCTCGCCCAGACATAAGCTCGAGGGCACCAGGTCCTCATGAAAGTGGTTTTGGCATACGAGGGCCTGCTGCGCACACCGCCAGTAGCACGGAGGGAAGGCAGTGCAAGAGCACCGCTGCCGTAATGATCAAATCATTTCAAAACTTCAGCAGCGCGTGCAGAGGTAGGTCATCACGCTTCGCCAGGCTTGGAGAGTCAACGAGGCACTCACCCTTTGCCGACAGCGTTCGCTCCCTGTGTGGAGAATTGTGTATGCAGACAGCACAACAGACAATGCACAATATCAGGTGCAATGAAATCCCCTGGCCTCAGGTGCACGCGCGACCAATACGGTACTACAAGCCCCTGCCTCGGGAAGTTCTGACGGGCAACAGGATCGCGCCGTCAAGCCCGAGAAAGAGGCCTCCAGTCGTTTAGAAAGCCTTATAAAGCGCGGTGTCATGCCGAAGTTGTTGCGGGGCCTGGCGGCGGCCCTGCTCGTCGTCGTGGTGCCTCTGACGTGGCCGCAAACAGCTGGAGCAGCAGTGCCACGAATCATTCATGTGGGCAAGGAAGGGTTTTGTGGCTGAAGATTTTGTGGGCTGTGTGTTGCGATGAGGTTGAAGGCTTCGGGGCTGACACGCACAGGCCGCGCCCCAAACTCAAGCTCATGGTGTGCGAACACAAGCACGGCTTCCTAATACCTACGCTGCTACCCCCTGCTGTCCTGTATGTTGACACCCTACAGCGATTCTACTCAGGGTGAGAACAAACCCTTGCCACAGGGTGGGGTTCACATGGGCAGAGAGTGGGCCAACCCGCATGATGCACTCCTAGACGGGTGCGCTCCCCGCTCGTGCACTCACACACACACGCCAACCACGCTTTCACCGCCGCCTTGCCCGAGATACAGGGGCCAGCGTGCCATGCGTGCTGCCGCAAACGAGCCAACATCAAGTTTCAAGCTTTACTGGATAAAATCTTGTGAGGTGTGTGGGGCTTGGGGAAGTGGTGTTGTGCGACAGAATGGCGTATGCTTGGTGCTGGTCCAAGGCAGTGTGGTGATCAACGGGCCAGGAGTGCGCCGGCTATTTGGAGGCGAGCAGGGAGCAATAATCATGCCTGGATTTTGTACCGTGTGCGGGTTGCTTGGCCACGGCAAGTGTGTGTTGCTGCCACATATGTGCGAGACAAGGTTTGGGAGTGGTGGAGGGTGCGCACAGTTGGCTTCAGGTGTTGCAACACCCTGTCTGCCGCCCCAGTGCGTTCCATTTGGCCAGGCTGAGATCGACGCAGGACCAGACTTGGGAGTCATGAATGGACCGGAGCCCACACAGCTGGGCTGCGCGGTTGGGTTGACTGCACAACAACAACGTGCCCCTCCCCCATGATGCCGACCCTCATGTTCCCTGTCCTGCCGGCCCCATGATGCAGACGCACCACCCAGGCTGGGAGGTGCGGTATTGGGATGACCGCTCTGTCTTGTCGCTGATCAAGAGCGACTTTGCCTTTTTTCTGCCCACGTTCAAGAGCTACAAGCAGGTGCGGATGACGCCGCAAATTCAGCGGGTGCGGCTTGCATTTCAAATGCAGCAGTTAGTAAGCACCGGTCAGCTGCAGCCTGGATGGTGCAGCGCGTTGCTTGCGGCAACACAACACAAGCGCACGTAAGCAAGGAGTCTGTACATCGCACGCGCTGCCACGAGCTGGGGCGCGCGACAAAGCGCTAGCGTACCCGGCAGGGGTGTGATTATATCTTGGCCAGGCCGTCCCCCACACGTGTCTCACCTTGTTGCCTGCTGACCTGCTGGACCCTGCCCAGGTCGTCCAGCGCTCTGATGCAGCGCGGTGGCTGATTCTCTACAAATTTGGTGGTGTTTACATCGACAACGGTGAGGTTGAGTGAGGAACCTGCTGCGGTACCGTTGCCAGCATGACCGTGTGTTGCCTGTGACCGGCCGCAGCATGTGCCGGGCCACACACGCTCTCACTGCACCGGAGTTGTCCGCAATACACTGCTGCCCCTGCACGCGCGGCGTGCGGCAGCACACTTGCGCAGGCCCTGCGTGCAGGGGACCTGCCCCCCCCCCCCCCGCTCCCTCTGTGAGAGCAAGCTCTGCTCGCTCTGGCTCAACACGCATGTGCTGCCGTGCCGAACCTCGCGCCTCTCAGATGTGGAGTGCTACCGATCCATGGAGCCCAGCATCAAGGGGCTCGACCTCGCCGTCAACTGCGAGTTGGAGGCGCCTGCCGGCAAGGTGGGCACACAGCTTGATGTGATCAGATGCTCAGCGGCTTGCAGCTGCCTCGGTGTGTGCCGCCACCATGCGGCCGGCGGGGTGCCCGTCCCTCGTGCATGTCAGGCGTTCGCCCTTCATTCATGCAGCTCCTCGACTGGCGCATAATTACCCTCCTGCGCAGGTCGGCAACGCCGTGCTGGCCAGCGCGCCTGGCAACCCGCTGTGGCTGCGCATCATCAGGGAGGGCATCAAGAGGTGCGGCGGCGAGGCCTTGCGCGACCAGCAAGTAAGCTTGCTGCCTTGGACCCACGTAAGACACTCATCGCAGAGCGCTTGCCTGCTGGCTCACCAAATGCCCCAAATACATCCGAATACCCGCGCGCAGGGCGGCCAACGTCAAGCCAGGGGCGCCTGTTGAGGAGACGCTGGACGTCACGGGCCCCCACATCACTGAGTGGGGCATCAAGGTGACGAGAGTGTTGGGGTTAGGGGGTCCCTGACCTCTGAATGGGGCTAGCGTCACCATAATTATGCATGGCTGGCAGCCTCCTGCCTTGGACGCACCTCCATGTTCCACTGGCAGGGGCAAAGTGGGCCTTGCACTCGCACGTGGTACCAAAGCCCTGCTGCAATTCACACCCCCAGACCACTCATGGCCTGGGTATGGAGGCGGAGGTCTGTGGCATCCCCCTCACCGACTCTGACGGCCGCAAAACCTACGCATTCAAGATGGGGGAGTGGTTCACACCCTGGTGGGTGCAGCGGGCAGGACAGGGGAAGGCCCCGAGGGTGAGGGGGCGGCACTTGGCGCCGCCAGACGGTGGCCTCAGCAGCCAACCGCAATGGCCTGCTGAGCATTCCACATGTGCTGAGTGGGTTTTTGGCCTAGCCATTCTTTATCAGCCCTGATCAACCTCGCCGCCCCACAACTGTTGTATGTACCCTGATCCCCACCCATCAGCCGCTGGAACAACCACACCTGCCACATGTGAGTGTCAGCGCACTTCTGGCAGAAAAGCTGCAGCTAGCTAGCCCCCACGGCGCTCAATAATGCATCGACTGCGTACTGCTTGCAACCGCTGCTTGCCCACGTACCTCGAGAGGCCCGCCTGGATTGCCCTGGGCGCCTTGTCCCCTGCTTTCACCACGGCGCGTTCGTGATTACACGGCGGCCGCCCACCCTCGCCACGCCGCCACACCGCCACTTCTCACGCAGGGAATGGGCACGCAAGAGCTTCTACGCTCGCAGCATCGCCGCGCCCCCAGGCAGCCAGGGCTCGCACGCCCCCGGCTCAGTGGTGGGCATGCACATGTACGCGTCATCCTGGACCAACGACATGTCCGCCACGGCCCAGCGCATGCGCCAGCAGGCCAGGGAGGTGGGCACCTGGGCTGGGGCCCAGCCAATCTCTGTGGGCGGGGAAGAGCGGTCCCCCGCGGGCTTTGACGGATGGTCAGGCGATGCGGCACAAGTTTGGGTGTGACTGGCATGTGCCAGCCCCGGTGGCAGCTGCTGCTGCCTCTCCAGCTCCCACTCAGCTACATGCTCCACCTTATTGGGACACCATCCGGCCCCGTCGACAGCGCACTCAATCGGCTGTGTGTCTGGTCACTATCCCTCCAAAACTGATCCGTTGACCTGCCCCACCTCCCCATCTCATACATATGTCGCCCCGTCCCACACCTGCGATTGGTACGCCAGTCCCTGGACGAGGCCTCCAAGTTCCTCTCCGACCCCTTGAAGTTCGTTGAGTACCGCTGCCTCGACCCCCTGAGGCTCCCTGCATCGACCCCCGGCAACGTGACGCCGTCGCCCGCCCCTTCGGCCTCCGGCGGCCGCCTGCTGGTCTGCGGGGAATTTGTGGAGGACGCGATCAAGGGCGGCACCTGCACGGTAGTCACCATGGCCGGCCAGCCCCACCTGGCCGACTTCGAAGCCGAGGCGACGCTGCGGCGCCTCGGCTGCCGCGTGACCGCCTTCACGCCCGGCGGCGACCTGCCCGTCGCGCTGCAGGCGGCGGCGCCGGCGGGGCAGGGCGGAGAGAGCTTCGCGCCGGCGACGCACGTGCGGGCGTACGTGGGGCCGGTCACGGCGCTGCTG